TAAAAGACCACAGATAAAAACAGTATTTTCACAAGACGCTACAAAGTACACACAATGACTGAAACCCTCCATTTACTCTAACACCACATTGAGAAAGCATGAGAGCAGGTGGGGGAGGCTGGGGGGGGCTAACCTGGCCTGGCCCCTGCAGGTGGAGTGCGAGCCGACTTGATGGGGGCCGAGAGGGCACTTTTGTTTTGTGCTGCCTTCGCAAACTCCTCCAGCTTCTCTAATCCCCGCACTCTCACTCAGGATTAAGAGATTTGTGGTCCCCCGGCTGTTTTGCATGCAGCGACAAAAGGGGCGCATTATGGAGTAAATCGACCCAAAATTAACTCCACTCCAGACATTTCCAGACAGTGGCTTGTTTACTGCGTGTAATGTGAACCACCGCGGCGTCGTTAGCGCGCTAGCTGTTAAACTGAAGCACGGTAGCTGCTAATAAGTCACAAAACAGGTGCGGTTCAGTTTGTACACTGCAAAAATTCATAGAAAATAAGTACAAAATGGCTCAAATTTGGCAAAATGTGTTTAAATATGAGCAATTTTGACTGCCTACATTTTCAAATCTTGTTTAAAGGCAGAGCTCCAGACCCAGGACTGAGGCTGTAGACCCAGGACTGAGGCTGTAGATCCAGGACTGAGGCTGTAGATCCAGGACTGAGGCTGTAGATCCAGGACTGAGGCTGTAGACCCAGGACTGAGGCTGTAGATCCAGGACTGAAGCTGTAGACCCAGGACTGAGGCTGTAGACCCAGGACTGAGGCTGTAGATCCAGGACTGAGGCTGTAGACCCAGGACTGAGGCTGTAAACCCAGGACTGAGGCTGTAGATCCAGGACTGAGGCTGTAGATCCAGGACTGAGGCTGTAGATCCAGGACTGAGGCTGTAGACCCAGGACTGAGGCTGTAGACCCAGGACTGAGGCTGTAGATCCAGGACTGAGGCTGTAGATCCAGGACTGAGGCTGTAGATCCAGGACTGAGGCTGTAGATCCAGGACTGAGGCTGTGGATCCAGGACTGAGGCTGTAGATCCAGGACTGAGGCTGTAGATCCAGGACTGAAGCTGTAGATCCAGGACTGAGGCTGTAGACCCAGGACTGAGGCTGTAGATCCAGGACTGAAGCTGTAGATCCAGGACTGAGGCTGTAGATCCAGGACTGAGGCTGTAGACTCAGGACTGAGGCTGTAGACCCAGGACTGAGGCTGTAGATCCAGGACTGAGGCTGTAGATCCAGGACTGAAGCTGTAGATCCAGGACTGAGGCTATAGATCCAGGACTGAAGCTGTAGATCCAGGACTGAAGCTGTAGATCCAGGACTGAAGCTGTAGATCCAGGACTGAGGCTGTAGATCCAGGACTGAGGCTGTAGATCCAGGACTGAAGCTGTAGATCCAGGACTGAGGCTGTAGATCCAGGACTGAGGCTGTAGATCCAGGACTGAGGCTGTAGACTCAGGACTGAGGCTGTAGATCCAGGACTGAGGCTGTAGATCCAGGACTGAGGCTGTAGACCCAGGACTGAGGCTGTAGATCCAGGACTGAAGCTGTAGATCCAGGACTGAAGCTGTAGATCCAGGACTGAGGCTGTAGATCCAGGACTGAGGCTGTAGATCCAGGACTGAAGCTGTAGACCCAGGACTGAGGCTGTAGACTCAGGACTGAGGCTGTAGACCCAGGACTGAGGCTGTAGACCCAGGACTGAGGCTGTAGACCCAGGACTGAAGCTGTAGATCCAGGACTGAAGCTGTAGATCCAGGACTGAGGCTGTAGATCCAGGACTGAGGCTGTAGATCCAGGACTGAGGCTGTAGACCCAGGACTGAGGCTGAAGACCCAGTCCTCTCTGCTCTCTCTGCTTCATATTTGAGGTTGTGTGTATTATATAATAACTTTCGCTCTCGGTTCAGTTGTTGTTTTTGACCTTTTCCGCTGTTTGCTGTAAACAGCGATACGTCCAAACCCCAAATGATGTCTTGGAAGAAAAACAAAGAAACACTGCATTTGTCCCGCGGTGTTTTATTCATGACACACAAATATATATGTACAGAACTTTACAGAAGAACCTTTTACAGTGACTTACAATTAATACTTCGATTAATCACATTAGTCCAGACTAGAACCAGGAAGTACCATCACATTAGTCCTGACTAGAAACAGGAAGTACCATCACATTAGTCCTGACTAGAAACAGGAAGTACCATCACATTAGTCCTGACTAGAAACAGGAAGTACCATCACATTAGTCCTGACTAGAAACAGGAAGTACCATCACATTAGTCCTGACTAGAACCAGGAAGTACCATCACATTAGTCCTGCTCTCTGGTCTTTGTGGCTCATTGAATAGACTTTCAAAGTAGCTGTGATTTTTGGATGGACTGGCCTCCTGCTGGGACTCTGAAGAGCACAGGGACTGGCCTCCTGCTGGGACTCTGAGGAGCACAGGGACTGGCCTCCTGCTGGTCCTAGAGCCAGGACTAAACATGGGGAGGCTGCGTCTCAGATTCTTGCAGCGAAAATCTTGGAACAGTCTGTAACGCTGTGACACCTGGTGTTCTCAGAGGTCTCTCATCACAGCATTAACCAGGCCCTGCCCTGCTTAGCCTCAGAGGTCTGACAGGATCTGGCTTTCACATGCATCTGCAGTGGAAGAAGTAGTATTGTGGATTTTAAAAAGGCACCTTTATATTACATTATAATACTTTTATTTACGACGGTGAAACTAAGAGAGACTGGAACTGTCCCTTCAGACTTTATCTCTCAAACAAATCTGCCTTTGTCTCGTACCTGTGCTCCGGGACGAGGGCAGGAGGCCATTGTGTCTGAAGTTAAACAGATAGGAGCTGGCGGTCTGCGGGGCCCGGGGTCAGCGGTACCAGGGGCCCCCGACACTGCAGCTATAGATCAAACGTCAATCATCCTTCGATTAGTCTCCGCTCAGCAGCAGGACGTTCCCCGCTCTTCCCGTCGTAAAAAACGCTCCGGCGGCAAAAACACTAAACCAGAAGATTCTCGAAGATAATTCAAAAGATTGTGGGCTCCTTCCAGCTCCGTCTAATTGCAGCGGACGGACTGAGGCTGGAAGATTTGTGCTGACGGAGGCTCCACTTCAGCATCGACTACAGGTAATCAATGAGTCCGCGGGATTCAAAGAGAACAGGAGACAAATCCAATGTCACCGCCGCCGCCGCCGCCGTGAGTTGATTTCATTTCGTTTCAATCAGCAAATTCTGATCTGTGCGAACGGGGACATGCAAATGAGTCTAATTCTTCTAAAACCAACCCAGGAAATGGATTTTTTTTGTTTTTTTGGGGGGAACATGGCGAGGCTTCTCTGTGGAGGTGAGTGGAGATGGGACAGGCATATTAAAGAAGGAAGTAGGTCTGTGTTTTTAATTGAAATTGGTGAATGGCTGTGTTTTATGTGGTGTGTGAGGAATCTTTCATCCAGATAAAAAGCTAATCTGGCTCATTACGCCGCCGTGTTATCAGTCCACGGAACAATGGCACTAATTGGTGATTGTCAGACGCTGTTAACGCCATTAATATTCTCCCCCAGTTTGACGAATTATAGAGAGTCCTCGGTTTTTAGACCTGACGCTTCAGTTTGTGTCAAAGTTACATTTCAGACGCTTAATAATAATAATCATAATAATAATGCATTGGTTTTATATCCAGCTTCTCTAGACACTCAAAGATTCTTCTCACGCTGCAAAAAGTGGTGACAAATAAGTAAAAAATGGCTAAAATTTCACAAAATCTGTCTTAATCTGACACATTCTGACTGAGACTTAAAACAAGATTCTCCAGTGGGACAAAACAAAATTATCTTGTTTTAAAAAAATACAGAAATGTCTCTCTTTGAATGAGAAAATAACGGAACAGTTGAATTAAAACTAAATATCTTTGTCTCATTGGAGAATCTAGTTTAACACAGTCAGAATGTGTCAGATTAAGATAAAACCATTCGATTCGAGCATTACCTCATATTTTATAATTTTTTGAAGTGTTTGTCATTGTTCTTTCACTCCAAAAACACAGAGATAAACTACTGTAGCCACAGCTGCCCTGGGGGCACACGAACAGAAGTGAGGCAACCAGTCTGTGCCATTAGCCCCTCCCACCACCACCAACCATTCACACACACACCAGACTCATTCTAATGTGGGGTAAAGTGTCTTGCCTAAGGACACAACCACAGTTTGGCACTTTACAGCCACAGCCGTCCCACTGTGGCTCCTGCTGTTCCCAGAGGTCTCCCATCACAGCACTGACCAGGCCCTGCCCTGCTTAGCTTCACATAGTTTCTCACCTGCAGACATTTGAGGCACATTTCTGCAGCTGCTTCTCTCTGTCCGGCTCAGAATCATTTATGTTAAAATATTTGAAGCGCTTTAAAAAATAACGCAAAGTTAAAAGAAAAAAAAAGAAAAAAGAAAAATCAAAGAGGACGAGTTCCTTTTCTCCCAGATCCTCATCTCTGAAAATCAAATATGCAGGAAACAGACTTTAACTTTTGCTCCTGCAGAACTTGGATGATTCTGAGGGTTTGAGGAGTTTAAAGAGTCTGATGGAAGGACAGCAGCAGAAGTTTATCTGTATAGCACAGTTTATATACAAGGAACTCCTGGTGTTGACAAGACACAGACGGACAGTTCTTTAACGAAGCAGTACCCGATTTATTTTCTAATGAGTTCATAAAAATGCTTATTACTACACACAAGTTGTATTATAATTTGTAATTTAATGTAAAACTCATTGATTCAGCTGTGAATGAACTCAGGCGTAAAAAGTGCTGAGTAGAGACTTAGCGTGACGCCCACTCTCCTCCAATCACAGAGCGAGGCTGCGTCCTCTAGCCTCTACAGCGCTGCTAAACACAGTAGCATGTTAGCATAAGTGGCTATAACTCCTCTGGCTGTAACTGCGGACACAGCAAAACAGCCGGGGGGGGGAGCAGCCTGAAGGGAGGCTGCTTCAGGGAAGACCTTTTACAGCCTCATGGTCCAGGCCTTGAACCACCAGAGACTGTGTGACCGAGCAGACACTGTGTGGAGGTCACACCTGGGCCCCGCCTTCAGCCCGGCCTGGGGGGCCCTGTACAAGCCCCCTCTGACCAAGATACAGGGGGAACTGCAGTGGAGGCTGCTGCATGGGGCAGTGGCAGTCAATGCCTTTGTGTGTAGGGTGAACAGGGCTGTGGGGGAGGGCTGTCCCTTCTGTGGGGAGAGGGAGACAGTGTTCCACTGCTTCTGGGAGTGTGGGAGGCTCAGGCACATGCTGGAGCTGCTGAGGGGCCTCTTCACTTCACTGGGGGCAGAGTTTAGTGCTCAGGTGTTTGTGGGGGGGGGGGGTCAGGAGGAGGGGGCGGCTGCTCAGTTTCCTGGTCGGTCAGGCCAAGATGGCCGTCTATGTGAGCAGGAGGAGGATGGTCCAGGACCAGGGCGAGATCAGTCCCAGGGCTCTGCTGGTCCGGATGGTCCAGGCCAGACTCAGGCTGGAGTTCGGTCTCTACAGGATAAATGGGATCAGGAGGGGTTTGAGGAGCGCTGGGGGTTCAGGGAGGTGCTCTGTGAGGGAGGTGTGCTCTGTGAGGGAGGTGTGCTCTGTGAGGGAGGTGTGCTCTGTGAGGGAGGTGTGCTCTGTGAGGGAGGTGTGCTCTGTGAGGGAGGTGTGCTCTGTGAGGGAGGTGTGCTCTGTGAGGGAGGTGTGCTCTGTGAGGGAGGTGTGCTCTGTGAGGGACGGGGAGCTGTTTTTTTCTGCCTTTTTATTGTTGTAAACTTATTAATTGAAGTGTGTGTGATGTGTTGCATTGTTTATTTATTGCCAGTATTTGCACTTTTTGCACTTTTATGTCCGGATTTTTAAACTGTGTCTTTTTTCTATACATTACATTACAATGTGTAACATGTAATGTTATTTGACCTCTTTAATGGAAAAATAAATGTCTGTTAAAAATCAAAAAAATCTCCTGCTCTCCCTCTCCTGGTCTCCCTCTCCTTGTCTCCCTCTCCTGGTCTCTCCCTCACCTGGTCTCTCTCTCCTGGCCTCCCTCACCTGGTCTCCCTCTCCTGGTCTCTCCCTCACCTGGTCTCCCTCACCTGGTCTCTCCCTCACCTGGTCTCCCTCTCCTGGTCTCCCTCTCCTGGTCTCTCTCTCCTGGTCTCCCTCTCCTGGTCTCCCTCACCTGGTCTCTCCCTCACATGGTCTCCCTCTTCTGGTCTCCCTCTCCTGGTCTCTCTCTCCTGGTCTCCCTCACCTGGTCTCCCTCTCCTGGTCTCCCTCTCCTGGTGTCCCTCTCCTGGTCTCCCTCACCTGGTCTCCCTCTCCAGGTCTCCCTCTCCTGGTCTCTCTCTCCTGGTCTCCCTCACCTGGTCTCCCTCACCTGGTCTCCCTCTACTGGTCTCTCTCTCCTGGTCTCCCTCACCTGGTCTCCCTCACCTGGTCTCCCTCACCTGGTCTCCCTCACCTGGTCTCCCTCTCCTGGTCTCTCTCTCCTGGTCTCCCTCACCTGGTCTCCCTCACCTGGTCTCTCTCTCCTGGTCTCCCTCACCTGGTCTCCCTCTCCCTGTCTCTCTCTCCTGGTCTCCCTCACCTGGTCTCTCTCTCCTGGTCTCCCTCACCTGGTCTCCCTCACCTGGTGTTCCTCACCTGGTCCCCCTCACCTGGTCCCCCTCTGGCCACATAACCTTGACTGCTCAGATATATTCTTGCTAAGTTGCCAGTGCTGCTGCTGCGACTCGTCCTGTTTCCACAAACCGTCGCAGTGGCACAAAACTCCATGTAGGTCATTTTCCTCTCCAGCAAAAACTAAACTTCCCACTCCTGCCGGCGCTCCCAGGAACGCCAACGCCCGGAATACTAAGCAGGCCGATCAATGGCCTCAGTGTTGCTCGATATGAATGATCGGGAGAAGGCTGCGCTGGACGACGCTAGAGCAGCTGCCCGTGTCACAGAGAAGAGAGATCCAAGGAGAGGATTTACAGGAGGTGGCTCTGGCGCCCGGTCCACCTCCTTCACATCTGCATGAGCTGCTTTTGTTTATGTACAGCTCGAAATCACAGCCGTGGCTTTCTCTGAGGACTTTACAAAGCTGTCGATTCGCCAAAACAGATCAGAGAATCAGACTCAAACACAAGAAATACAATGATAAAAAACACAGAGAGACATCGATCCAACAGGAGCAGAGACCAAAGTCTATAAATGTCCAGGACTGAGGCTGTAGACCCAGGACTGAGGCTGTAGACCCAGGACTGAGGCTGTAGACCCAGGACTGAGGCTGTAGACCCAGGACTGAGGCTGTAGACCCAGGACTGAGGCTGTAGATCCAGGACTGAGGCTGTAGACCCAGGACTGAGGCTGTAGACCCAGGACTGAGGCTGTAGACCCAGGACTGAGGCTGTAGACCCAGGACTGAGGCTGTAGACCCAGGACTGAGGCTGTAGACCCAGGACTGAGGCTGTAGACCCAGGACTGAGGCTATCTATCTATCTCTATCTAAATGTAAACAATAATACAAAATGGATCCATTGTGAATTTTCTTTTTCAGTTCAGTTTTCTCAAAGTAGCTCTTCCATCACTGATGAATGTCACACACCAGACTGTAGTGTGTGTAGTATGTTTTGTAAGAGTTGTGTGTTGTGTGTGTGCAGCTCTGTGCTCCGAGGAGTGTGTCCACGGCCGCTGCGTCTCTCCGGACACGTGTCAGTGTGAGCCGGGCTGGGGAGGCCTGGACTGCTCCAGTGGTGAGTGCTCCTTAAACACTATACACTCAGATACAACCTGCTTAGTCTGTCCTCTCTTCTGTAGCAAACACAGCCAATGGAACAGGTAAGGCTCCTTCATTCTCATTGGCTGGAATCTGGCGCGTGTGTGTGTGTGTGTGTGTGTGTGTGTGGTGCTGTTATTGTTCTGATGATGACGAGGCTGCAGTGTGTCGGATCGATGCCAAGTGAAGTCTTTGTCCGGTGTTTAGAGCCGAGGAGGAGAGAGCCACATCCAGTTTGTAATCAGCCTAAAGTCAGACATGAACCACACTGAGAGGAGAGGTGCATTATGGGTCGGGCGGCACGGTGGCTGAGTGGATAGCAGTCACGCCTCTCAGCAAGAAGGTCCTGGGTTTGAATCCCTGTAGATTCAGGGCCTTTCTGAATGGAGTTTGCATGTTCTCCCCGTGCCTGCGTAGGTTTCCTCCGGGTGCTCCGGTTTCCCCTACCATTAAAAACATGCTCCCTAGGTTAAATCCTCCAGCTCTGGTCCTGACCAAGCCGAGCATCAACATCTGGATAATGGTTCCCGGGCGCTGTTACTACGGCGACCACTGCTCCTGACGTAAGCCTTAGCGGCATCAGGATGGGTCAAATGCAGAGGATGAATTGTCCTACGGGGATCAATAAAGTGCACAAAGTAAACTAGATTCTCCAACGGGACAAAACAAAATGATCTTGTTTTTGAAAGATACAGAAATGTCTCCTTTGGAATGAGGGAAAAAAGCAACAGTTTATGAAATAAGTCTAAACACAGTCACAATGTGTCAGATTACACACACGCACACACGCACGCACGCACACACACACACATGCACACACACACACACATACACATGCACACATGCGCACACACACACATGCACACGCACATACACATACACACGCACACACACACACACACACAGGCACGCACACACACATACACATGCACACATGCACACATGCACACGCACGCACACACACACACACACGCACACACACATACACACACACACACGCACACACACACAGCTTGTCCAATTGTTTTAATGCGGTCCAAATATTCAGATACATTTTGCTGAATTTGAGCCATTTCTTTTGTTGTTCCTCCTCCGTGTTCACAGCTGTTTTCTTCTTCTTCTTCTTCTGTAAATCTGCTCTGAGTGTAACCAGAAAACTGCCGTCTCTGACCTGGTCTCTTTTCTCCGTGCCTTGCACCCCTCACACCAGCAGCTTTGACTGCAGCTACCAGCATTAAACATTTATGGTCTTTTGCATATTCAGAAATGAGTAATGGGAACAAAAATAATATTGGCCCTCTTACTGTACGGATCTATGAGTTTTCATTTGCACAAGAGCCATTTCCTGATTAGTGTTGTGTGTAAATCAGAGTGGATCAGGAGGAGGAGGAGGAGGAGGAGGAGGAGGAGGAGTTAGCATTAGCATTAGTGTTAGCAGGCACAGAGGCTGGTTCTCTGCTCACACTGGTCCCTGGTAAAGCTTTTACACGTTGTTCATGTAAAAAGACTCAATGGATTTGTCTCTCTGGTCTCTCTCGTCTCCCTCTGGTCTCTCTCTCCCTCTCTCTCTCAGCTCTCTCTGGTCTCTCTCTGATCCCTCTGGTCTCTTTCTGCTCTCGTCTCTCTCTCTCCCTCTCTCTCTGCTCTCTCTCTCTGCTCTCTCTCTCTCTCTCTGGTCTCTTTCTCTCTCTCTCTGCTCTCTCTCTGCTCTCTCTCTCTCTCCCTTTCTCTCTGCTCTCTCTCTCTCTACTCCCTCTCGGCTCTCTCTCTCTCTCTGCTCTCTCTCTCTCTGTTCTCTCTGCTCTCTCTCTCTGCTCGCTCTCTCTTTGCTCTCTCTCTCTGCTATCTCTCTGTGCTCTCTGTTCTCTCTCTGCTCTCTCGCTCTCTCTCTGCTCTCTCTCTGCTCTCTCTCTCTCTCTCTCTGGTCTCTTTCTCTCTCTCTAATCTCTCTCTCTGCTCCCTCTGCTCTCTCTCTCTCTCTGCTCCCTGCTCACACTGCCCCCTGTGGTGGAGCGTCCGCAGGTTGCCAGTACGACTCCACCTCAACAGAAGCCTCTTGACGGCTTCGTTGGGACATAACTCATAAATGCAGATATCTCTCTCCAGGCAGCCGTCCAGTCCCTCTCGTCCGCTAAGCTTTCATCTGCAGGAATGGAGAATGCCAGCCAATTCTGAAATTAAATCTGCCCCCCTTTCCTGTTGTGTAAATGGTTCAGCTATTTCGGCCCCGTAAATTTGCAAGGGCTCCGGCAAAGGTGCGTTGCATTAATCTTTACCAGATAAAAATCAATGTCGTGGTTTATTTGCACTCTGTTTTGATAAGAAGGAAGTGCAGAGACGTGGACGGGATCGTACACTGCAAAACGTGGAAAACAGGAAGTTAAAAATGGCTCAAACTTGTGTCTTAGTTTTAGGATTTGGGACAGAGCAACGTTTTCTTGTTTTCCCCTTGTTCCCTCCTTGAAGTTAGTTTTTTTAACCTCTCGTTTTTTTCATGATTGGCCTTTACCAAATGGTGGAGATGCAGATTGTTGGTAAAAGTGTCTAAAACCAAGAGAGATTTCTGTTCCAAGCTTCAAGTCGATAAAGTGACTAAAAAAAAATCATTCATTCATTCATTTGTTTATTATTCACAGAACTGTTATTCCCACAGACACAGGCCCCAAACACTCACTGACCCCTCCCCTCGCTCTGAGCTGAGGCCTTTTAAACCCTGTCCCTCGTTTTGCAAAGACATTTTAAAATTTTCACCCCCAACTTATAACAACAAACTTCATATTGAGTCATCTTTTTGTCCTTATACATGTTTTAAAAATGGAAGATATTAGATGCACATTTCAGTCGCTCTGAGCGTTCCTTAATCGAACAGCAAATACAGACACACTTCTGTTTCATCAAGGTTCTTGCAAATGCAGTTTTTAAATCATATTTTCGTCTGGGGGTTGAGCGTGATATAAATGTCTCCCTCGGAATGAGACAAAACAAAATGGAGAATCTGGTTTTAATACAGTCATAATGAACTGAAATTTAGATTAAAAAACACTGGATTCAAGCCGTTACAACCTGTCTTTTTGCAGTGTAGCGTCACAGTGGCTACTGTGTGGGAGGGGGGAGGTTAGTGGGGAGAGGGGGGAGGGCCTGGAGCAGAGACTGGTTCCTGGACTTGTTTCAAAGTCCTGGTTTTGAGAGCTGCAGCCTCCGGGAAGTCTCCTGGTCGTGGGCAGAAGGTAGAGAGAGCACACTCTACTCTCCTTGATTCTAGCCCTGAGGCGCCGGGCTGACCCTGGATCAGCGCTCTCTCTGTGGGACGTCCCAGTGCAAGGGTGGGAGGCTGGTGGAAGTAAACACACGCAGAGGCTGTTGTGGATAAGGCTTCACTAATTACAGTGACAGAGAGAGAAATGTGGTTCAGTCTCTACAGATTTATAACAAATACTTTCATATCCTCTGCTTTACTCCTCATCTAATGTAGTTCTGTTCTGTGGACTCTCTGGTCTCTCTCTGGTCTCTCTCTGGTATCTCTCTGGTCTCTCTGGTCTCTCTCTGGTCTCTTTGGTCTCTCTGGTCTCTATGCTCTCTGTCTGGTCTGTCTGGTCTCTCTCTGGTCTCTCTCTGGTCTCTATGCTCTCTGTCTGGTCACTCTGGTCTCTCTCTGGTCTCTCTGGTCTCTCTCTGGTCTCTATGCTCTCTGTCTGGTCACTCTGGTCTCTCTCTGGTCTCTCTGGTCTCTCTCTGGTCTTTATGCTCTCTGTCTGGTCTCTCTGGTCTCTTTGCTGTCTGTATGGTCTCTTTGGTATTGGTTTTTTGTATTTTGTGACTTCTGCCTTCTCTGTGGGATTTTCAAAATGGCCGCAGGGGCTGGAAAATGTAGAAAAAAATAACCCTTGCGTATGTGTCAGCTGCATGAGCCCCATTCATTTAACGAGTGCATTCAAACGTCCACAGCAACTAAACTAGACTGGTCCAAATAAACATACTCCCTCAACATTGACAGCATCTGGAACCAAGAGCCATTTTTGGACCAAGAGCCATTTTTGGACCAAGAACCACTTTTGCACCAAGAGCCACTTTTGCACCAAGAGCCACTTTTGCACCAAGAGCCACTTTTGGACCAAGAGCCACTTTTGGACCAAGAACCACTTTTGGACCAAGAGCCACTTTTGCACCAAGAGCCACTTTTGGACCAAGAACCACTTTTGGACCAAGAACCACTTTTGCACCAAGAGCCACTTTTGGACCAAGAACCACTTTTGGACCAAGAACCACTTTTGCACCAAGAGCCACTTTTGCACCAAGAGCCACTTTTGGACCAAGAGCCACTTTTGGACCAAGAACCACTTTTGGACCAAGAGCCACTTTTGGACCAAGAGCCACTTTTGGACCAAGAACCACTTTTGGACCAAGAACCACTTTTGCACCAAGAGCCACTTTTGGACCAAGAGCCACTTTTGGACCAAGAACCACTTTTGGACCAAGAGCCACTTTTGGACCAAGAACCACTTTTGGACCAAGAACCACTTTTGGACCAAGAACCACTTTTGGACCAAGAACCACTTTTGGACCAAGAGCCACTTTTGGACCAAGAACCACTTTTGGACCAAGAACCACTTTTGCACCAAGAGCCACTTTTGGACCAAGAACCACTTTTGGACCAAGAGCCACTTTTGGACCAAGAACCACTTTTGGACCAAGAGCCACTTTTGGACCAAGAACCACTTTTGGACCAAGAGCCACTTTTGGACCAAGAGCCACTTTTGGACCAAGAACCACTTTTGGACCAAGAACCACTTTTGCACCAAGAGCCACTTTTGGACCAAGAGCCACTTTTGGACCAAGAACCACTTTTGGACCAAGAGCCACTTTTGGACCAAGAACCACTTTTGGACCAAGAGCCACTTTTGGACCAAGAGCCACTTTTGGACCAAGAACCACTTTTGGACCAAGAGCCACTTTTGGACCAAGAACCACTTTTGGACCAAGAACCACTTTTGGACCAAGAACCACTTTTGGACCAAGAGCCACTTTTGGACCAAGAACCACTTTTGGACCAAGAACCACTTTTGCACCAAGAGCCACTTTTGGACCAAGAACCACTTTTGGACCAAGAGCCACTTTTGGACCAAGAACCACTTTTGGACCAAGAGCCACTTTTGGACCAAGAGCCACTTTTGGACCAAGAACCACTTTTGGACCAAGAACCACTTTTGCACCAAGAACCACTTTTGCACCAAGAGCCACTTTTGGACCAAGAACCACTTTTGGACCAAGAGCCACTTTTGGACCAAGAGCCACTTTTGGACCAAGAGCCACTTTTGGACCAAGAACCACTTTTGGACCAAGAACCACTTTTGCACCAAGAACCACTTTTGCACCAAGAGCCACTTTTGGACCAAGAGCCACTTTTGGACCAAGAGCCACTTTTGGACCAAGAACCACTTTTGGACCAAGAACCACTTTTGGACCATCCTGTGAATCTGTCTTTGAGCGGTAAGAAGACACCATACAAAAGCATTGGGTAATTCTATTTCCGGGTACACCCCCACCGCCCGGAGAGAGATTGCAGCATACCAGCGCACGTGCTCATGAACCTTTTGGAGCCTGGACTTTTGCAAATCTTGTTTTAAGGCTCAGTCAGAATGAACTCAGACTAATACATTTAATTTAGCAATTTTTCGCTTATTTTACGTCACTTTTTGCAGCGTAGAATTTGAGCATTTCGTGATTTGTAAACACAGTATAGATCGGTGGCCAACCCCAGCTCTGTGTCTTTATCGTAAGTCCGGGAACAATGGCTGGACAGACCTCTCTCTGACCCATCGATCCCGTGACCTGTCTCTTCTTCTTCTCTCTGTTGCTGCGTTTGTGATAAAAACATCTGTCTCCTTCCATCGCATCGATACACTTTTGTTTAGTAGAAGAAGAAGAAAAAACCCGAAACTTCTCGGCTCCCTCTGGATTCTGAATGGATTACGGACGAGAAATATTCAGCTCAATAACACGTTGTACTTGATTTATTAGCTGAGGCTGAGAACGGTTCATAGTCGTTTAGTCTCTGATGGTTTCTGCCACAACTGGTGGAAAAAACAGCATAAAAAGTAAAACCATCAACACTGAAATCTATCGACAATAACTGTTTAGATACAAGATCATTAAAGTGCTTTGTTTACAATGAAAATGTGGAAAGGAGGTGTCTCTCCCTGCTCTCTCTGTCTCTCTCTCAGCTCTCTCTCTCTCTATGCTCTGTCTCTCTCTATGTTCTCTCTCTCTCTCTCTGTCTCTCTCTTTCTCTCTCTACTCTCTCCCTGTTCTCTCTCTCTGATCTCTCTGCTCTCTCTCTATCTGCTCTCTCTCTCTCTCTATGCTCTCTCTCTCTCTGCTCTCTCTCTATGCTCTGTCTCTCTCTGCTCTCTCTCTCTCTCTATGCTCTCTCTCTCTCTGCTCTCTCTCTATGCTCTGTCTCTCTCTGCTCTCTCTCTCTCTCTCTCTGCTCTCTCTCTATGCTCTGTCTCTCTCTGCTCTCTCTCTATCTGCTCTCTCTCTCTCTCTATGCTCTCTCTCTCTCTGCTCTCTCTCTCTCTGCTCTTTCTCTATCTGCTCTCTCTCTCTCTGCTCTCTCTCTATCTGCTCTCTCTCTCTCTATGCTCTCTCTCTCTCTGCTCTCTCTCTATGCTCTGTCTCTCTCTGCTCTCTCTCTCTCTATGCTCTCTCTCTCTCTGCTCTCTCTCTATGCTCTGTCTCTCTCTGCTCTCTCTCTCTCTCTGCTCTCTCTCTCTACTCTCTCCTTTACCAAACCTCTCCGCTCCCTGCTTGAATCAAACAGATTACGGACGAGAAATATTCAGCTCAATAACACGTTCCGCCTGATTTATTTAAGGCGGTATTGCACAACGACAATGGTCCGCAGTCATTTAGCCTCTGATGGTTGCCGCCAAACCGTTGATGGTATCGATCTGTGTTTGCGGAGAATCCAGCGTCTGCATCTGTGCAACACAAAAACCAGAACAAAACAAATCTAATCTATTCCAGGGATACAGCGTTGTTATTGGATCAACCCACATGA